ACACACACACACACACACACACACACACACACACACACACACACACAGATCTACACTCAGGCAAGGGGACAGGGGGGACAGTGGTCTCCTATAAATAGTAGGAAGGAATGGCGTTGATGGGTCCTGTGAAAAGAAATGGAGGGGGGAGTGGAAAAAGGATTAAAAGAGATACAGGGACGCACTGCAACGCTGCTTGTTCATGTGTGTGTGTGTTAGTGTGTCTGAGGTACTTTGGGGAGAGGTGGTATGGATTTCTTGCTAAAAACAAAACTCTCTCTCTCGCTTAAACTCCCCCCCCCCTTAAAAACCCCACCATTCATCCACTCTCTCTCTTACATACACACACTTCCTCATCCTCTCTTTTTTTCTCTCTTCCGTCCTGCTCCGCGGCCCCGGCGTGAAATCCATCATGTCTTAACACTACATTACCCGCATCACATCTTCCGATAAAGAGACGATGACTCACGGCACAGTCCTCTCTTTCAGGTCGGCACGACGATGGTCTCAAAGATGGACGTGACTCCATCTGTATGTCATGATGTCATATCCAGCAATTGCTTAGTGACATCATCTCACCCCCGAAAGAGGTCAGGGCGGATATGAAGTTGTAAACACAGAGGATGGTTCACGTAAATATGAACCAATTTAAAAGTAAGGAAAAGCTAATTAATCGTCGCTGCTACCTTTTCAAACACTCACAATGTCATTCAAGAGAGTGCACTTTGAAAAAAATAAAAGCTTTGTTGAGGTATTAATTATGTGTGAGTTTTAAATGAACCTCTCATTTAGGATTGAATGGATGCAGTACTTTAATGTCATGCCAAGCAAAGCTTTGTAGATGTGACAGAAGATAACAGATAATTCGTTATCTGGGAGTTAATAATGCACTCAGTACAACACTGATGGATAGACAGTCTTTTAAAACTAACTCTGACTCCCGTACCAATTTCCACGGTGGCGAGAGCAGTATTGACAATCTGTCTTTAAGTGTTAGGTCTCTGTGGATTTGTAACCAGAAGCCTTTGTGCGGCATCTCTGTTGTGCTTGTGTGTGTGTGTGTGTATCTCCCTGTATTTATCCACCCAGCCGTCTGTGTGGTATTACAGTGTAGATCTCCGCTGCTGCTGCTGCTGCTGCTGCTGCTGCTGCTTGCACTCACACAGCCGACAGACAGAAATAGTCCCGTGTCATCGGGGTAAATAGGCTGTGGTCTGCTTGTGCTCGCAGGAAGCCCACAGCCGCCTTTGGAAGTCTCTCAGAGCCTTCCAGCACCGTCAGTCCAGTTTGTTTTGTGTGCGTACGATTAATAAAAGGTTAACTCAACCTTCAGTCAACTGTTGAAGAGACCTGTAAATCTCCCCCACAATCTCTTCCTTCCTCTCCTCCCTTTGTCTCTCTCCCTTTGCCACACCTTCCCCTGGGGGATGGAGGGATTGTGTTCGGAGAACAGAGGTGGGGCTCCTGGCGCAACCACAGGTGTGCCTGTTCCCTCCCTTCTCCTCTCTCATGTAATGATTTCTTTGGCTCGCCACCTGCCAGGTGGAAAAAACACCCACAGCAAATGGAGTGCTTTAAAACGGTCTCCTGGCTTCCGTTTTAAAAGACCTTTTTTTTCTTGTTCTGTTTGTCTTGATCCATTAACAAACATTCCATCTGCGTCCCTTTTCATTATCTGCATTTAATTCAACGAGGTCTTCCTGGAGCTACTTGTTGCTTGTTTACATTTTGCATCACATGCAAATGATGGCTTCTGGTTCTAAAAACAGCTGCTGCTAAAGCTTTACTGCTGTTAGAGCCACAGCTTCTAGCTTTTCAGATGGTCAAAAGTTGCCTTTCGAACTCTTTTCTCTTCGGATCCCCATACTCAACTCTCTTTCAAATGGCCTCGAGGGTGGTGGAGAGCAGGTCCCAGGCCCTGGCAGGTCAGAGGTCGCCACCAGACAATGTGTTCCCACTCTGGGTCAGCTGTGGTCAAGGAAACAAAAGCGGTCAAGACTGGGGTTGGACAAACTATCACAGTGTTTTAGGGGGGCAGAGTGACAACAAGACAGAGGGAGGGAGACAGGACAGACAGGAGAAAAAAGTACAATGTGAGCGCAGTGAAAACCTCTCTCACACACTCACACCCAACCCCCCCCCACACATACATACACACACACAAACTCCATTGGTACATTTTGCTTAAACGCATACTTTACCAGATTTTAAAATATCTAATTTAAATGTTATGCCCATTAAAAAAATCAGCCAAAGCTGCTGAAAGGCTAAACATATAAACAAATAATTGACTAACTTGAGTGTTATTTAAAAAAATTAAAAAATAAAGCCAAGTGTTTTTGCTTTATTCTACCGGTATCTTTTCAAATCGCTCGAACTCGTTCCTCCCCCTCCCCCATGCCGCTGTATTCCTCCTCTCTTTTTTATTCAGTGCCATTGATCATGCATGCAGAAGTTCAGCACGCCCAACCATAGCTCTCGCCAGGATAGGTTAGCTAGTGCAGGGCCTTGTCCTACATACTGTTCTCTTGCTATGGTCCACCAGGCCACAGTCACACCCTCCCCCTGATATGCCTCCCCTCACTGACTTCCCCCACTGCCACACACACACACACACACACACACACACACACACACACACCCTGCACAGAACCAGCACATGCACGGATCATCATGTGGTGCTGGGAATGTTAACTCATTATTACCAAAAACTTGAAGTCAGGTGCAGTGGATTTTTTGAGGGCTCATTTCTGGATCTGATTCAGTCTCACTCCTAACTTGTTCCACGCACACACACACACACACACACACACACAAGCATGCACGCACACACACACACACACACTCACACACACACTCACACACACACACACACACATACTCAAGCAGGTGTTTGATTTAAATTGCATCCTGTCCAAACTACAGAAAACTAAATCTTTGCTTGATACATTTCATCTGGGCTAAAAAACAGAAACAAAGCCTGAATGATCTCATTAAGATAATTTTGTGTATGCTGCGGGATTTTGCTTCCCTGTATGCCAAGGTCACCATCTGATGAGTTAAGCAAGTGCATTTCACATAACTGCGTGAGCGCTTGTTTCACTTTCATTAGAGCAGCTGAGGCAGGTGACGAAACTGCTCAGCTGACCAGGCTTGGCCTGGCTAAGAGAGAGGCTGACTTAGAGGTAATGCTAGTAATCTACCACTTAGCTGGTTAGAACGGCCTGTCACGTAGGGGGGTGAAAGAGAGAGGGACATCAGGTTTAGATGAGGGTTGAACTGTGATTGGATGAAGGATGAAGAGTGGT